GCTTGAAAAATAGAGCTCAAATTTCTTTCCTTTTTTCCCCCCAAAGCAACATTTTTCAGTAATATTGCATATTTCAGTTTAACATGTTAAAATTTTTGAGTGATTTGTATTCCAGCTGTACAGTGATGAGGCACTAGAAAATTCTCTAATTGCAGTTTACAGAAGAATTAGAGTCTTTGAGTCCATCTGCCTGTATATGTTGGTGTAGGTGTTTACCTTGTTGCTCCAAAACTATAACTGTTTGAGTTCTGAAATTTCACTTTAATTAAGAAAAAGAAGGAAAAAAGGACTTATAGAAGATCATACCAATAGTTGAGACATGCTGTGTTTTTACACTCAGATTAAGCTAATTTATGTGTAATAATACACTTAGTTAATACAAGGTTAAATCCAGATGTCTTGGATTTGGAAGTCTCTATAGAATCAAGTTAGCTGCGATATTGTCCAAATGGAAGAATTAGGAATTGCAAATGTCAGGATCAAATGTTTTGGAATCAGAAGTCCATTGTAATTAACCAATCAATAGGAAATCCAAAAAAATAAAATTTAAACATTTACTGTTTATCTTTTTTACAAGATAAATTAAATTTACTGTTTATCTTTTTTACAAAGGTAGCATATGTACAATAGGAACTGCATGTAATTACAGTGAATTTAATGTTGGTAATGAAATATAAGAAAACTTTAACTAGAAAAAATTATGCAATCTAAAGAGATGTCATTATCTTCATGTTTTGTTTATAAACAAAACTATATCTTCAAATGATTGCAATAGATACATCGGGAAAAAATAGATTAGAAAAAAAAATTCTCCAGCAAACCAATCCTCATGCAAGCAACTCATACAGGTCTTCAATCTTTTGATCACTGCACACATTCAAATTTTATGCAGGTGGGCACCTATTAATAACCTGTTTGTAATAGTGCCATGACCAGTCACAAAACTTAATGTTTGAATCCCTGTCCTCCAGCCTAATACTGAATAGATATACAGAATGTGTCGTTTCTAGAAAAAAAATCACAGAATGACCCAGTCATAGTAATAGTGATAAGAATTGTGTCAACTTTGTGGCCATTTTCATCTGCATAATAGTACTTACTATGATTTTATAAGTAGTATAAAGATATTAATTTCAGCAACAACAGAAATGCAGTTCTAATACACAGGAATGCCTATGTTAAAATCTAGAGTTTCCAAGATATTTTACAGCATCTAATAATCACATAACTTTATAGTTGCCATGTGATCCACGAAAAATCATTTGGAGGAATAACATTCTGGTGAATTGATTTCAACAGCAAAAAATTATGTATACAAGTTTGCTTTTTTATCAGGATATACTTATTTGGCCAGCTTAAATTGAATACTGCTGAGATTGCAAAGGCAGTCATCCTATTTAAATGTCTTGTGAAAAAGCTATCCCAGAAAAACATTTGTGAATTAGGGCCCCACTATTAAATTGATTTTGATTTTAAAAGGATCTGTAAGTTCTAGATCTTTTGTATTCTGAGCCTTAGCAACAGAAAAAAATAGAAAATATTTTCCACAACATCCTGTGGAAAGCATTATTGGTGACTAACATAAACACAGAGATGCATTTGTTAGAATATGTATCCAGGGTGCTGATATTTTCTCCCTCTTCTCTCTCCTGCCCATATATAAAACTCTGCGTTTTTCATTCAGTAAATCTTCCCCTACTGTTTATGAAAGATAAAAAGAATCTAGGTTTTTGTGTAAGAAAAGGATTGATTAGTGTCATGTACATATGCTTTCACTTCTGTTTATGCAAGATAATAAGAGCATTAACATGGAGGTGGAATAATGGTGTTTATAATTCCATCACCACTGTTTATATAAGATAAAAACAGTGCTTTTAAAAAAGTAAAATAGTGAGAGAACATTTGCTGTTATGTACATACATTAATTTTTCCCTACTTCTGTTTATAAAGTATGAGGATGAAAAAGTTTAACAAGTTGAAGTGAAGTCAATACTGTTTATAACATGGCTCTTACTGTTTACCTAAGATAAATTAATTTAGAGTATGTAATTTCTGTCTCTTCAGAAAGGGGAATTGGGGTGACAGCATTTGGGGCTATATTGTGTACTTTTAGCAGCCTCAGAATTCTTTCCCTTATTAGGAGATATGCGAGATATATGCTAAATCACGCCAGGCTGAGTATGATATGACTTCTTAAAATAAGGGACATATTGAGATAACTTGCCAAGGAAACATGACTTTTAAATCTTGCGATGCTCAGATGTGTTGGGATAGAACTCTGTTCTTAGCAACTAATATGTCCCGTTCCTGTAATTGCTGGAATGATATGAATTGTAATCCTCTATTTCGGAAAAGCACTAGATTGAGAAAAGGACAGAAGAAACTAGCTTGCCACAGGGGTTTGAAAAAGATAGGGACAATTATGGGACAGCAAGGATAAAATCCAAAATGGCTGCAAAACAAAACAAATAAGAGAAAAATCACCCAAAATACTCCACAGTCCAGCATTGCTTCACAGGTACTATACTGTACATGTTCCATATTAAAAAAAATCCCTTTATTTGTTTTATTGACACAGATTGTGTTTAACATTAGTTCATTAAGTTTATTGAAGCATATATTCACAATACAGAAAACATATTCCTTTCGCAACATAAAGCTGAATGTAGGGGGACTGTTCTGTATACGTTGACAAAAACAATACAGTTCAACTGGTGGAAAGTAAATTTGTGTCTTCATTATTTTCCTTCCAAGATGTTATTGGGACACATGATAATTGAAACAGAAGGAAGGTTTGTATACAACTAAGTAGAAGTATTTTCCATAAACACTACCTACCAAGTTTGTCATATCAAGTAACTTACTAGCCACTTCTATAAGGGATGGGTCCAATGCCTAGCTTAATAGGAGACCAGATATCAAAGCTGTATTAACTTATCAAAACCAGGCATAAAAAATGTGCCATATATTTGCGCCTATGTCATATTTTTTAAAAAATAATAATTAGTATCAGAAATTAGAATAATCCCCAAATGAAAGATATGCATGTTTTTTTTCAGATTTAACTGTTAGCTACCATTTCAGTGTTGCATGGAAGCCATTCCTATTTCAATTAATGAATGGACATTATAGACTAGTTTTGTCTAGATTGTATTTATTTCTATTTATTTTAAAGCATTATTTTTTATTTAGCGTATGACAGGGGTTCCCAATCACTGGGCTGTGGCCCACTACCAGGCTATGGCCAGTTCAGAACCGGGCTGCAGAAAACATTGGGTGAGTGCACATTCGTGCGCAGTTCCCCTCACATGAGTGGCATGTACTGTACTTGCACTCGTGCATGAAGCTCCCCTTAGTGAGTGGTGGGCAGGCATACCCGCCGCTTGCACAAATAGAGCTGTGCATGTGCGTGTGCATGGCCACCACTCACATAGAACCATCCTCCCCCCCTGCAGCAGAAGGGTTGGGGATTCCTGGCATATGTCTTATCATACATGGACTAGCAATATATATTAACATTTCATCTAGATTGGTTTTAATTTAAGGCATTGTTTCTGCCTCTGGCTTTACCTACTCCTTAATTTAAACCAAATGATTGTCTGAGGCACTTTTATAATCTTGCTTTGAGATCCATCATGACTACATATCACTTATATGTTGATAGTGTTCTTTCTATATCTGGATTATTATATGTAATAGCATGTGAAAAACTTTTTTGAGAAATGGGTCAAAGAGATGGTCACTTGAGGACTGTTAGAAAAGAGAGGACAAAGCCTGCAGCTGCATAATGGTGGAGAAAGAGGTGCCATAGGGATCTTTTCTAACTTCTCAGACTGTAAAGTAGACAGGCTTGCATGATTGATGTCAGCCTTCACAGGTAAACCAGGAAGGAAATAAGACCAGATGAGTTAATTCTATTTTATTGTAAGGCTACATTAACAGAATCTTGCAAGTCTGAAAGTACAAATCTGAAAAGGTAGGAAAGGTTTCTTCTGAGCCTTTTTCTCTACCTTTTAATGCAGCTGCCAACTATGCCTTCTCTTATTTGACCATTCCTTAGGCAACATCTCTTCCCCTGTTTCTCAAGGTCTTGTCCACACATCAACTCATTATCATGCTTAGTTACTACTCTCTGATAGAAGGTACTAAAAGGTAAAATCTGTATTTATAACCTACAGTTTGTTTTAATATTTTTTGTGGGGAACATAGCAGTGAAACCAGAGAAGAATTATCACCAAATAATCAGCAGAGTTCTGATTTGAAGAAACATAGGATTATTTATATCAGTGTTTCTCAACCTTGACAATTTTAAGGCATGTGGACTTCAACTTCCAGAATTCCACAGCCAGCATTGCTGGCTATGGAATTCTGGGAGTTGAAGTCCATATGCCTTAAAATTGTCAATGTTGAGAAACACTGATTTATATGTACAATATCTTTAGTGTAAGCTTTAAAACAAAATAATCTTTCACAACTAAATTTGAAGGAAGTAACAAATAAGATAAAGTTAAAAGATAGCATAATTAGAGGTATTTTCATTTCTGGTCACATGTATCTTTGCAGTTACTGTAGATCTTAAAATAAAAACCCTGTAGGAATGGCAGATTTCAGAATTGGTGGGCATTTTATTAAGAATATAGTAAGAGTTGGAATTTGCCAGATTCCATTTATCTGGACAAAAATATATTTTTATGAACTATCCCAAGAAGATTGTCTTCATGCGCTGGCTGGAGAATTCTGGGAGTTGAAGTCCACACATCTTCAAGTTGCCAAGGTTGAGAAACACTGGTCTAAAGTGTCTTACACTTAGTATCTAAATTAATCATAGTGCTTTTTTCCCCTTGAGCAATGACAAAAGCCACTTTGCACTTTTATATATTATGTTAAAAAATTTTTTTGTCATGAGCAGGTTCTATAAAAGCTTTTTCTGTTCCATCATTTTGACAAGTGACTTCTACTAAATATGCCTGTTCATCACAGTTTTTTTTTAATTTTTTCAGTTCAAGAAAACAGCAAACATTTCTGAACTACTTAGAAGCAAACACCAGGGATTTTCATCTGCCTATAAGGTAAGTCATGTATGTAGTAAGAAAAAAAACCCAAGTCCATTTCCTATCATCTCTATTTTGAAAATTGTGAGTTATCTTTGGTTACTCAGTAAGCCTTGTCTCTATGATCCAGGAATCATCCTTTGGAAACTATAAAACAATTAACCTTAGTAACTTTGGATTTCTTAAATTCTTGGTCAAAAATATGCTACAAATTGCTTTTTAACTGTTTGTTTTCCTTGACTATTTTTTTGACTATTTAGTTTATGTATTTTAAAATATAAAGTGCTTCTGAAAAACTGTGCATTTTATAATATCTATTGTAGCAGATCCAGCTTTTCTTGAGCTGATAATGATTTTATTATATCCCCTTTTCCTGAATACGAAAAGGTCCATAAATGGAGAATAGATATACATTTTTAAACTTATGTATTGATCCAGTCTTTGCTTCTAATATGTTAATTACTTAATCTAATACATTTCTATTGCTTGATGAGAAAGTAGATTGACAATAGATAGTATTGTTACTTTGTTTTGTCCTAATGAGCAGCAGGCCTTAAGGCTTAGGTATTTTGAAATTTTTTAAATTATGTAAAGTATGGGAAAAGGACACAGAAGTTCTCTCTCATATAACACTAGCACCTAGAAATAAATAGAAAAATTCTTTGGGGGGAGATTTAGGATACTTTAAAAATGGTTCTTTGTAATATATTCAGGTAATTTATGTAAATTGCTTTCATAAAATCTGATGACACATACATAGGCTTTTTAAAGGGTAGACCAGCAACCATATTGGGCCAATGCTTGGAAGTTAAGAAAGGTAGGACAAATTAGTACTTAGATGAACATATAAACATCACTGCTGGACTAAACCAAGGCCTATCAAGTTTGTATTTTGTTTCTCAGCTTACTATTATCCCGACCCTGTTTATGGCATTATTGTTGCACTCTTCTCTCCTGAATGGCTTGGCTATCCATGAACAAATATCATCCTATCCCACATAGTATCTCTGAAATATTTACACCCTTTGAAATCAGATGCTGCCTAGTACCTATCAGTTCTTTCCCAGATGTCAGTTTAAATACTCATTTTTAATTAGACACCGTGTTTCCATTTTGGTTCAAGGCCAATTCTCTCATTCAGAGTTTGTGTTATACCAAAATGTTCTCCAGTGCCTAAAAAGAAATCGAACTCTACTTAACTATCATCTCAACCATTGACTTCATAATGAGTTCTGTCAGTCTGGCTAGCTCTCTACAGAGAATAGGTAACCTTTCTGAGAATTGCCTGACTGTAATCTGTTACCAAGAAAAATAGCTTCTAGGTTTGATCAAGTTTTTATTTGCCACCATGATTGGTATCAGCATTTATCACATTTATTACTTCCTCCTGATTGCAATCTAGTAGTTTATCTAGATACCTCATAATTTCTGTAACATTTACACTAATCCATCTGTCTAAAACCTCTGTCAACTAGCTAGTTTCTTGATCAAGGAGTCAGTTGAAATTATAAGCACCTTCTTTTCAGACTGTATGGTCAACACACAAACAGGCAATTTAGACAGATAAGCCTCCTTAAATGCTACTAATCGTTCCAAAAGCTTGTCAGCTATCTTAGCAAATTTCATTATTCCTGTAGGCCCTTCTATTTGATGCTGCTTTCCCAAGGCAATCAGGGAATACCAAATCTGTATGCTAGATTTGGAAACTAAAAAAAAAAAAAAAAAAAAGACAGGCAAACTATTTTCATAATGTTTTTTTTTTTTTTTTTTTTAGAAAACAGCATAGTCTTGACCTTGTAGTCACTAGAAAAAATAGCTCATTTCAAGGATTTTATCTTTTTAAACAAGGCTTGGAATCAACAAATGACAGGAAGGATGCCATCATCTATTTTAAGAGATTTGTTTGTTTGTAGAGGACTTTTTTGTAGGTTTAATATTCACTAAAAAGCAGCAATTAAGTGGCACCACATCCCCTAAGTAATAGTCCTGTAACAAAAGACCAGAATGATGAAATGCTTCATGTACTTCATGAAGTCACAACAAAAGAGCTGTTATGAACTCACATTGCAACATTGTAAATGACACAGTGCTTTCCAGTGTCTCAACAACTATTTATCAGTGCCATCCATATACTTCAGTATTGATAGGGCTCTTTATTTCTAATAGTCATGTTGCCTATAAGCAATCCCAGGATCAAAGGCAGGGTCTCCATATTTAGTGAATGCTGGCCCTTATGTTTCCATAAAAAATCCATTTATGTAGACATTTTATCATGTTATCATGTTATTTAGACCATAATTCATAAATCAATCCCAAATCTGAATAATAAGGTTTATTAAAATTGGTAGGATCATCATGGTAATTCCAAAACATTGCTGGGGGGGGGAAGGGAAGTTGAACAGCAAACAGATCACTGAAGACTGATATATGTCCATGTAAAACAGTCTATTGCTGTATTATATGGGTAATCTTATTGTGTCTTTAAACCCAATTGAAATTTCAATTCGAAACCAGAGCAATTAGAGCAGTGGTTCTGAACCTTTTTAATGCCGTGACCCCCAACCGGTCTTAAATCGAGGACTACTCAACCGCTCGTAAGTCGAGGACTACTCAGCTGGTGCAGCACCGTTTGCAGAATGGGACTTTTGGCAGGCTCAGCAGGGCAGAGACAGCCTGGACAATTCCTATTGGTTTTTGAAAGCCAATAGAATTAGACTCTATTCAAGAGAGTCTATTGTATTGGCTTTCAAAAGCCAATAGAATAAAAGGGAGTAGCACAGCTAAGGAAAAGGGGGAAAATGGTGGACTGCGTTGTTTGGCGACCCCCGTGAAATGGTCATTCGACCCCAAATGGGGTCCCGACCCACAGGTTGAGAACCATTGAATTAGAGAGTTATAATAGCTTTCAGATATTTCAAGAAGAACCCATTCCTCTACCCCCTCTTAAAAAAATTAAGAAACTGGCTAAAAGGGTCCTTGATCATATATCTTTTTTTTTTTACATTCACTAGAAATAGGTGTGAAATCTAACATATTTGCTGAACAATGTACCCAAACAGTAACTGAATTTCTTCTGTTTTTAATGTGCATTTGTTCAAAATAATTTGCTTTGGTGGCTTCTCAATATATTAATTTCTTAATATTAGACTATTTTATACTGCTGCTTTACCCTTTGGTGCTTCCTTGAGTACTTCATAGCAGGTCAAAGGCTACAGCATCTGTTGAGAGTAGATTTATCTGATGTGAGGGCCAGTTAGTTGCTAAGCAACTTTTCGATTTAGCAGCATTGAATGCAAAGCAGTTACTTTTTAATGCAAATAAGTATAAGGAGTGATAGGCGGTTGGCTGCTGCTGATGACACATACACAAATGAGTATCACACATAGTAGAAATGATTTTCAATTCCTGCATCACAAATCACATATTCACATTTGTGGTGAGTGTTCTGAATAAAGGAGCTGGCTTATGTGATAAAACATACTACAGTGTATTATAATTGAGGAAACATATAATATAGCTTGTCTGATTTTACTTGGAACTTATACTTCTCTATCCTTGAAACAATTTCTCTTTGAGAAGGATGTGAATAAAGAGTCGTATCTCTAGGTATATCTGTTAGATTAATCAGGTCTGAGGCTGTGAATGTTTATAACTCCTGATTCAGAAATAAGAGTGCTACAGAGTTTTATTTTCAGATATTTTTAATGCTTTCTAATGGAACGTGTGTAGTATAAGTGGGGGGGTTATGTAATATTACTTGCAAGGGAACTTGAAAAATAATAAATAGAAAATTCTTACTCCTAAAAATTAAGCTTTTGCAAGAAAAAGATCCAGCGTGGTGCCACTATTTAGCCAGATAAACAAATATCTACAAAAATAATTGGGAAAGTTTTCTCTGTCAGTACAACATAGCAGGATTTTTTTTTTACATCAGAAATACTTAATTTCAAATAAATATATGTTTTTTTAATAAATAGCTATGGGAAAATGTAGATTCTTTATAAAAGAAAACTAGTATGAGGTGAAAAGTGAGTGAAGGTTATTTATGCAGCATTTACTTTTCACAGATATAACAGCTTATTGATTGGAAGAACAAAGTCCTAGTTAGCCTTGCTTTTCAGCTTAGGTTCAGTTTATTTCCCTTTTTAAAACCAATATAAAAGATTATTGTACATAGGCCATTATCTTCACTGGCTAATGAAGTGTGTGTGTGTGTGTGTGTGTGTGTGTGTGTGTGTGTTTCCTATTCTGTAATGCCACAGAAATGTCCTTCTAGATTCTGATCACTGTAATAACTAATTTCAAGGAGTCATTAGTGAGGATTCAAACAATATCCTATAATGAGTATGTTGTGAAAAAATTGACATAGTTTATTTCTGTGATTCATATTCATATGGAAATAATGGCTTGTAAAATAACATTGACATTTTTCTTGTATTCATTGCAAGCACTGTTAATATTTTGCCTAACAAATCTTGGATAGACCTCTTAAAATATTTTAATCTGCATACAGTTCATCTACAAAATTGGGAACCCAGGTTGTTGCATAGTAACTCTGGCATACTGAAAACTGTGTTTAGGCTCGCTTAAGGCTTGTATTAGCAGACATCATATTATGGGATCTGATGAGTGCATTAGAGGCTACTCAGTTGGGCCCAATAACAATGTCTGCTATTTCAACTCTTCCCAGCAGCAACCCAAAGACATTCCAGTGGCTGCCTTGATTTTATCCATTATTCCTATTAGTTGTTACCTTCTGCTAAGCATGGTAATTTATTATGTTCCTTATCCACTTTTAGAATAGAATAGAATAGAATAGAATAGAATAGAATAGAATAGAATAGAATCTGGAAGGTATCATGGAGGTCATCTAGTCCAGCCTCCTGCTAAAGTAGGAGGACCTATACCATATCAGACAAGTGACTGACTAGCCCAGACATGTCAAACTCGTGACATCATGTGATGTCATGCAACATATCAGGACAGTTTTGCCATTGCAAACTCATTTTGTTGGATAG